ATTCCTCATAATAGCGTGTAGAGACCCATTCATTCTATTTCCTGCGTTTACTCGTCGTTCTATATCCTTATCATATCTACCATCCCTGCTAAATAAACATCCCAAATATACAAACTCATCCACTTGCTCAATCAACTCCCCTTCTATTCTTATTTCACATAAAGTTTTACTTTCTTCTCTTTCAAAAACCATCACTTTCGTCTTACTTGCGTTCACTTTCATACCCCTTTCTTTCAATGACCAATTCATTAAAGTAACCATCATTTGCAACTCGGCCGGCGACGATGCAAATATGACTTGATCATCGGCGTACAAAAGGCATTTGACGGTTGACTTACCCATTCTCAACCCACATTCTTCAACTTTCAAAGTTTGCAAACAACTGTCCATAAATAGGTTAAACAGCCACGGGGAAGCCACACATCCCTGTCTGACACCTTTATGAATGCCAAACCAGTCCGAGTAGCCCCCGTTGATCCTGACACAAGCACTAGAGTCCCTATAAAGAGACCTTAATGCCTGTATTAAGCCAGCGCTCAACCCAAATGAGTTCAGTGTTTGCCATAACACATTCCTGTCCACTCTGTCATAAGCCTTTTCCAAGTCCATGAACGCACAAAAAACTTTCTGGTTTTTAGCCAAAAACTTCTCCGCTATCATGCGCATGGAAAAGACTTGATCCGTACACCCCATCCCCTTTCTAAATCCAGCTTGCACATCCCAAATTTTTCCATCTGTTTCTTCCATAACTCTTTCAATTAACACCTTAGCATACAGTTTACCCACAATGCTAAGCAAGCTGATACCACGGTAGTTTTTACAGTCTTGCTGCGACCCCTTTCCCTTATATATTGAGACTATAACGGCTTTGCACCAGTCTTCTGGTACCCGTTTCAGTTCCCAACATAAATTAAACAAGGTGTGCAGCAGGCCTGCAACCACACCCTTACCAGCCCTTAGCATTTCGAGTGATACTCTATCATATCCGGCTGCCTTACCTGATTTCATGCTTTTCATTGCTTTCATTATTTCATCTACACTTATATCCCTACCTCTCTCCACTTCTTCCGGAATTTCTATTTCACTTATTTCAGACGACTCTTCACTCTTAAACACGCTTTCAAAGTATTCCTTCCATCTCTTTAAATTCGAAACTTCATCATTCAGCATGCAGCCATTCTCGTCTCGTATAGCATTCATTCTAGGCTGTTTTGAATTTCCCCTGGCAGTTCTTACGAGCTTCCAGAACATTTTAATATTTGCTTGGAAGTTATCAGATATCCTTCTATCATTCTTATCTATCCTTTTTTGTTTTTCCTTTCAACAACTTCTTTTACTCTCTTATTTATACGTCTAAAGTCTGCCTTTTTTCTTTCAATCTCATCATTCATACCGCCAGAATTACCAGCTTTAGTTGCTAGTAAATCTAGCCATGCTCTCTTCTTTGCTTCAACTTCCATCCGTACCTCATCATCCCACCACAACGTATTACTATTCCTTTCATTCGTTCTCTTACTTACACCGCATACTTCGGTGGCTGCATCCACCAAAACTTTCTTAATATTATTTCATACATTCTTCAATTCTAAATCATTCATACATAATTCATTCAACCCACTTATATTTTCCCTCAGTCTGCATTTATACTTCTCTTTCACACCTTCATCTTGTAACTTCTCTATTCTTATACGCTGTAACGCAGTGGTAGACACCGATGTCCGATGCCGCCAACGTCTGAATAGACCATTAATTCGACATAAGACCAAGTAATGATCCGTCCCTACGTTGGACCCCCGGTTGTATTTTCACTATGAATAAATTTATCTGCGGATTTAAAAAATCTACCTTAAGCGACCATATCAGTTAATTTTCATTCATACTTATACTTCATAAACAATTACCAAATATAGTCACCACTTTAAGTACGTCCACGCGTACGAAATCGCCGGTGCATCTAGTATACACATAAATAAATGATTATAAATTGTTATATTTAAGTGTTAAATTGTTATAATTACTGCAAAACTATTATACAAAAATATTATTATGATATATACCCATAAATAAAGTTGAAATGTTTGTCGACCTATCCGTCCGCGCTAATGTTCTGAATGGCTGAATTGATTCTAATGAAACTTAAAAAACAGATAGAGAGCAGGAGTAATCTTGGTCCATTCACAATATTTAAGAACCCCAGTAACGCTGTATAACATACCCCATTAAAATAAAAAATAAATATATATATATTATTATTAGTTACGCGATATTTTCACCAATTGATCCCAATACCCAAATTTCTTGATCATCTTTGTTACGGCCTACGGCTGCTCCCTTTAAAGGATCAGATCCTCAGGGGCCCATGAGCTGAAGTCCTCCCGAGCAGACGTAGGTCGGGCTCAATGTGCCACGTGGAATCTCTCTAATTACACTAAATATATGGGGGAGCGTTATACTACGGCCAGTCGACCGGAAGGAATTTGGCGGAGTTCACTTACCTCTATCCAAGGCGACTGGTCCCTCCGGAGTCGGTCAGGTCGCATGTGGTTGTGTAGTGCAAGGGAAAGAATGGTGATGTTGTGTGTATCTGGGTGTGACTGATGGTGATTGAACCTAGACCTTAGCCGTCGGCAGCAGCCCGAGCGTCGACACCGCTCCAACTTGAGGGGGCCTTTCGAGGTTATCCACAGTCACTTTCTTGGTTCACCACGATGACAGTCACTTAACTCTATCGTACTATTAACTAGCTTACAGAAGCCACTAACTATCGCGGGGTATAAGGTTACCGCACAAAACACGCCCGGAGTTTCTGGGTCAAAGGTCACTACCGTTTCGCGTGGCAACAGATAGTTCTAAATACAGAGGCCGCACTAGCTTATATTGTCGAATGCACTTATACAGATTCTGAGTCGGACCCAATAAGTCCCGGGAAAGGCTATCCAAACAGGGAATGCGCGTTATAATTCCTAGACAGGATATTTACTAGACGCCCTAACTATTCCGCGGTTCCCGCACAAAATTAACAGCGTGCAAACATTAGCACATCTGGCAGATGACTGACTCGCTTGCGACCCGCGCGCCACTGCCACGCTCGGAAGAACTTCAGACCGGAATCACGCCGAGCCGAGTGACATCTGATGTCGATTCCGACAACAGAGTTTTGCGCGAACAATCTTTATACTGCTATGGACAGTAGACTGCAGGTAGATGTAGTGTACACCAATTATGCAAAAGCATTTGACAAAATTTCACATGATATTATGATACATAAATTAGATCAAATCGGTGTACATGGTGATTTACTTCGATGGGTATCCTCTTATCTTAGAAATTGTAGTCAGGCGGTTGCAATAAAGGAATACTGTTCATCATTTCTCCCAGTTTCTTCAAGTGTTTCTCAGGATTCTCATCTTGGTCCACTACTGTTTATAATATTTATAAACGATGTTATATCCTGCATCCATAATTCCGAGATTCTCCTTTTTCAGATGATATGAAAATTTTCAGGTCTATTAAAACTATAGAGGACTGCCATCTACTTCAAGAATATCTGTGTAGGCTTAGTGCAAGCAAACATTAGGGAATGTAACATTATCTCATTTACCAGAAAATATAATCCCATCCTCTTTGATTATAAGCTTGATGATAATTAAATAACGAGAGTAAATGAACTGCGTGATCTTGGTGTTCAGTTGGATAGTAAGTTGTTACTGAGGTCACATATTAATATGATAACTAAAAGAGCTTATAAAATGCTACGTTTTGTTATGCGTATCTCAAAAGATTTTAAAAGGTCTTTAACATTATCATACTATTTAACACTCTGGTGCGGTCTATTCTTGGGTATTGTTCTTCATGTTGGAATCCTCAATACAAAGTTTATATTAAAATGATTGAAATAATCAACAATAAGTTTTTGCGTCACTTAAAGCGATATAATTCTTCTGTAGACTCCATTATTGATAACTTAGACAGCAATACCCTCTAGAAACGCCGTGATATAAGAGATCAAATGATGTTGTACAAATTGCTTCATAATACCATCGACTCTTCCCTACTTTTAGGCAAAGTGAATCTTGCGTGTCACAGGTTAGGTGCACGAAATAAGCCTCTTTTTGCATTACGTAAAGTTAAAACATTGTATGCCTCAAATACTTTTGTATCTCGTACATGCAAAAAGTTTAACTTAAAATATTGTAAATTTGATATATTTCACTTTGAATATGATAGTTACAAAGAAGATATTGTTAAACTTAATATATAATTGGTAGTATCACTTTGAGTTGTATATAATAATGTTACTTTTCACTGCACAGTACTTAAAGTTTAATTTATGAATACCACTTAGTTAGTTTTATTCTTTTATATTTTTAATTTTTATACAACATAATATTGTGGTGGCAAGCTTTTATTATGTATTAGATATCTGTAGAAACTTCATTGGGTTTTAGGATTACTTTTATATGTTTTATTGTGTAATTTATTATTGTACTGTGTGTTTTCCTTAAAAAGTAAATAAATAAATAAATTGTGCACTGATTTTGATGATTCTCTTTTTATTAAATAGGTACGTTAGGAGTCCCGTATAAATTTGAAGAAAACATTTCACCCCTAAGAATAGATCACCGTTCCTCCTTTCTTTCTTTCTTTCTTCCTTTGCTTCCTCCTGTCATACGCAAACAAGGTGTAGCCGCGGTGAAAAAGGAAGAATAAGATAACATCTCACAATGAAAGACGTTTTTGTTATTAAATTGATAAATTTTGCCAAACAGATTCCATTTTAATCAAATAACACATTATGAAAATACAAACGACATTGTAAAAATATTATGCATAAAGAAAACAATATAACAATATAGCACTAATAACAACTAAAAATAAAAAATATATATATATATATATACATATTACGTGTCTATAAAAAATATCATTGGCAGTAATCCGAACTGCACCGTGTGGCTTCTCTCTTACATGCGAACGAACCGCGTGACTTAAATATTATATCAAATCTTCCTTCTGTACTTGCTGTATACCTGCCGCCAATACTTTAAAGCCTCGCTGTACCAAAGGTGGGAAGTGCTTAACTCCTCATCAATGACCATGGCATGAGGCGACGTAGAGTTAGTAGGATACCACTTCAACGACAACAGCTTCGTTACCTCTGGAATTGGCTCCCTGTAACAAAGTAAACTCATTAATAATTTACATTGACACTATCATCACTGTTATTATTAATTTTAGGAAGGCTTACAGACTACTCTATATTTATAAAGTTAAAAAATGATCATAAGAATCGCTAATTACAAGTCTGCACTTATTACTTTTCTCCGACTTTATGCAAATTTAAAGTACTCCAGGGATTGCGTAAACTACTCACAAAAACAATAACAAAAAACGCAAGAACATTAACAAAAAATAAAAACAAACGCATAGTTTAACAACCCGCCGTAAGACAAAAGACCTTGCAATTTGAGTCATGCTAGTCGCGGCAGTGTATGAAAAATTTTCTGTTCATCAGCGTCATCGTCGAGTAAAACGTGCACTATTGGATGAAACCCTCTTCTAAATCAGAACCTATTTAGAAAATCACCGTGCTGGAAATTAACGATTGTAAAATCAAACACCACAAGGGCATTAGATAAACTTTGAGATAATATGTGTGAAGTGCCATTAGATATTTTATCATTTTATATCCCGTTTTCTACTGCCTACTATATGCCTGATAAAGTAATTATTTGTTATACCGCCAGCAAAATAAAAAAAAATCAAGGAATATCGTAACGATGACATTTTTCGATTATTACCGAAGCTACGAATATTAACTACGTCAGACGAATGCAAATGACAGTAATAAGTGAAGTTCTTTATTCCTCATACTCGATAAGTCCAGTAAAAATCGAAATCATGACGACAACAGATGATCCTGTCAAGTTTTGGCCTTCAAACCAGAAATTTGTAAGAGATTTTATGAGTAGAAAAGCTACATTGTAGCTGCTACGAGTGGCTTTAGGATGACTTCAGTACACACACGTAAAATAGCAGCATGAAACTGCTGTGTTTCCTATGGTAAGTAAAGATATATCCGATATCCTTATTGTTAAAGAACCAAAATATAGTTAACAAAACTGAATATCCGATTAGAAATTCAATTATTGTTTTATTTTACACAGTTTATGAGGCACATTAAAAAGGAACCTTATATATTTTTACTTACTTACTTATCTTCACGCACAATCCCTGACGGGGTAGCCAGAGAGAACAGATCGCCAAGTGTCACGATCCTTACATACCTCTTTCGCTTCTTTTAGATTCATTATCTTCTTCATACATGTACGTCTAGGTATCCGAGTACTGTTGACCCTACCCTCTTCGAGCAATTTGCTCACATGGTCTTCGAAAGTTAGTCTCGGTCTACCTCGACACCTTTTAATATTAACTTTCGCGCTATATATTTTCTTCACCATTCGGTCTTCACTCATTCGCTCAAAGTGCCCAAACCACCGAAGCGCGCCCTTATCAATTTTTGTGATAAGGTCATCTTTCAAACCTGCCATATTGCGAATCTCTTCGTTTCGCTTTCGGTCGGCCATGGTAACGCCGCACATTTTACGAAGAGATCGCATCTCCACTGCATTCAACTTGCTTTTATGCTTCTTCTGGCATACCCAGGTTTCGCTGCCATATAACAAAGTCGGTACCAACACTGCGTTATGTATTGCAAGGCGTGCACTCTTCACTACGCCTTGCCTTTTGACTAACGCAGTCAGGGCACCATTAACTTTGTTTCTGGCGACGACACGCCTGTCCACATCTAAATCACATCTTCCATCCCGGCTAAAAGCACTCCCCAAGTATACAATTTCATTTACCTGTTCTAGACATTCCTGATTTACCCATATTTCACACTTCGTTCTCTCTTCGTCCCTTTCAAATACCAGAACCTTAGTTTTATTAGCGTTCAAACGGAGACCTTTAATTTCACATTCCTCTTTCATACACGTGACTAATGCCTGCAGTTCTGCCTCTGATGGTGCAATAAGCACTGCATCATCAGCATACAGCAGATAATTTATTTTTATGTCACCCAATTTCACACCCAAAACAAGAAAAACATCTTTCAGCTTTTGTAAACAGCTGTCGAGATACAGTATGAACATCCAGGAAGACATGACACAACCCTGTTTTACGCCCGTTTGGACGCTAAACATGGGTGACAGGTCATGCCCTACCCGCACACAGGCTTTACAGTCACAGTAAAGAGACTGCACAGCCCTTAGCAATCGGCCATCCACACCATACCCGGGCAACAGTTCCCACATTTTCTTCCTTACAACCTTATCAAATGCTTTCTCAAGATCCACAAAAGCACAGAAAATCTTCTGGTTAGCAGCCAGAAGCTTTTCCGTGATCATACGGAGAGAAAACATTTGATCCGTGCATCCTCTTCCAGGTCTAAATCCGCATTGTGCCTCCCATAGAAATCTTTCCGATTTCTCTTGCATCCTACGTGTCAAAACCTTCGAGTAAACTTTACTTGCTAAACTGGTCAAGCTGATCGCCCGATAGCACCCGCAGTCAAAATGTGAACCTTTACCTTTATATAAAGGCACAATGACTGCGGATCGCCAATCATTCGGGACATCCCCCGTCCGCCAGCACAAATTGCACAGCAGATGAAAGCTGTCACAGACGCGAGGCCCACCATACTTGACCATTTCAGCAGTAACTCTGTCTAGTCCCGCAGCCTTACCACATTTCAAACTTCGAATCGCACGTTCAATCTCTTTCATACTGATGACCTCAGTGTCATCGAGGTCCGGGTCTGGCGTACCAGTCACGGCGTCATCCCCGGATCCCTCACTAAGATCATCACACGCATACATTTCTCTATAAAATTCGCTCCATCGCTGCATCGCTATATATTTTTAACCTAAAATATGGGGTGTCATTATCTAGAGATCATTTATAAAATACAAAAATATGTATTTACGAGTATTACCTTAAGAAAGAAAAAGAAATGGAGAAATCAACCGTCAAAGGAGAATGGGATTTTTGAGCCTGAAGTTAACTAATTGGTTTATACTTTAAAAAATTGACCATAATGTTCTTAATTAAAATACAAAAAAGTTTTTTAATCCTTTTACAATCTAGATTTCGAAAAAAATAATAAAATAAGGAATATGTTAGAAAATCGATTGTAGTGTATTATTTATGGCAATTAAGTCTATTACCATAAAGAATACACTAGTGAAATTCTCTTTTCTGAACGTTATCTTCCAATTGAGGACTTCTCATTTTGAAACATGACTTGACAGTTCAAACTTCAAACTATTTACTTAAAAGAAAAATACAGATTTTCGATTCGATTTGAAACGAGCGCAATATATTCGATTCTCGATTAAATTAAGCATTTTAATATATATTTTCGATTATTTTTCTGTGTTAAATAGGGAGATAAGAAAAATAACGTTCATAATTACAAAATAATAATAAAAAATAAAAAATATCAAAATTCCAACAAGTAACTGTTACAACAACAATTCAAGTAATCGATCTCAGATCGATATCCCTAATATTCACTTCACTTAATTATTATTGTTTTAACTTTCGTTAATCGTTTCACTATTTTGTTTCACTCGTATCAACCACAGCTTTTTGGGTGATTTTATACTGATCCTGCTTTTATATCTTTAAGTAATTATAGTGAAAATAGGCTGTTACAGTGTAATAACAGTGAAAAATCACCTGTTACAGTGTAGGTAATAGGTAATCACACTTTTACTTATTCTACAATAACTCAGCTCCTAGATTGACAAATTTTGCCAGATTTTCAGCTATAAATTGTTTATATATACGCTTTCAAATGGTCTTACTTTCATCTTGTTAAAACTTGGGTCCAAAAATGTATGGAGATGTCTCCTTCTCCTTTGTCAGATATAGATTGTTTTTACTACAGGGGCTATCACAAATGTGGAACTAGTTAAGAATTTGAAATTTCCGTTTATTATGAATCATATTCGATCATATACGTTGAATCTTGTTGTTGTTAATGTTGCTTAAATACAAAATACAACAAACACTTAAAGCATAGTTATGCATCCTTATATCATACTTATAAATATATAGTTATGCATCCTTATATCATACTTATAAACGCTATAGAAATTTTTGTAACGAATTATTAAAAAAAAGTTAGGGCAGATTTTGATAACAATGAATTATATAAAGCTGGAAATGATAATAAAATAAAGTGGAAAATCGTTAAAAATATAGCTAAATTAAATAGTAATGTTACATCTTTAAATACTAATCTTCTTAGCCTAAAAGCCAGTCCAGTAGAATCAATTAACTATATTAATAATTATTTTGCCAATATTGGAAAGAAACTGGCAGATGAAATTTCAATAAATTACGTAAGGAATGAGTCAACAACAGCGGATTCGAATTTAATAAATCAGTCTCAATCTTTGGGCTTAAGACCCACCGATCCACTTGAAGTCGAGTGTTTACTGAGTAATCTTAAACATAATTCTGCACCAGGCTACGATGGAATTTCCAATCAGGTGCTTAAATCTACTAAGCACCTGATAATTCCCTCTATTGTGCACATTTGTAACCTTAGTCTTGAATCAGGTATGTTTCCTGATCAGTTCAAAGTTGCTTTGATAAGTCCTATACATAAAGGCGGAGACAGAGACAGTATCAGTAACTATCGTCCCATTTCCATTCTACCAGCCCTATCTAAAGTATTAGAACGTCTATTAAATAATCGTTTCAAATCATATTTTTCTAAATATAACTTACTTTCTGAAAATCAATTTGGTTTTATAAATGGAAAATCTACTGAAGATGCAGTTTTATCTCTAACAGAGTTCATTGTAAAACATGTTGACAGTAATAATAAATGTATTGGAATATTCTTGGACCTCGCAAAGGCGTTCGATACTGTCTCTGTGCCGATACTTTTAGCTAAGATGGAAAAACTAGGTATCAGGGGTACATCTCTGAAGTTGTTTATAAGTTACCTATCAAATAGAACTCAACTTGTAAGAATTGGAAGCCTAACAAGTGAAAAAACTAATATTAATTATGGTGTACCTCAAGGTAGCATACTTGGCCCTACCTTGTTCCTAATATATGTGAATGATCTATGTGGGCTTAAAATGCGCGATTGTAAAATTGTTGCCTATGCGGATGATACTGTTCTACTGTTTCATGCACCCTCCTGGCATGAAAGCATTGATTTAGCTCAGATAGGTCTCGAAGAAGTTATGTCATGGTTGAGAAAGAATTTGCTAACCTTGAACATTGATAAGACGAAGTATCTTACTTTTATGAAATCTTCAGTAGGTCAAAATGAACTTGACTCTTATTCTCTTAAAGCACATATGTGTGGTAACTTTTCATCACTTTTATGTAACTGTCAGACCATAGAGAGAGTGAAATCTATTAGATACTTAGGTGTTACTGTTGATTACCTCTTAAACTGGCAAGAGCATATAATTAAATTAAAAAGTAACATTAGAAAACTAATACCAGTGTTTAAACGTTTAAGACATATTCCAATTGAACTACTCAAAACCACATATAATGCTCTCTGCCATTCGCTATTGTCATACTGTATTACTGCTTGGGGAGGTACTTACAAAACTTATATCTTGCGCACTGAAAGATCTCAAAGAGCTGTGCTGAAAGTTATGCTTTCTAAGCCTTTTAAGTTTCCCACAAGCAAGTTGTTCTCGGAAGTAAATGTGCTTACAGTCCGACAGCTATTTATTTTAAAATCTGTTCTTAAAACACATAAGAATTATAATTGTAACTTAAATTTATTTCAACAGTTAAGAAGAAAAGATCGAATTATACTACCAGACAAATTTCACTCGTCTTATGCTCAAAGACAAATAAACTTTTTGGGTCCTTACCTTTATAAAAAAATTAGCAATATTATAACGATATATACGCTAACGCGTTTTAAATGTAAGCAAGCTCTAACTAAGTTTTTAATGTCTTTATCTTATGAGGAAACTGAAAAATTATTAAATATAGATAGGTGAAACACAAACTCTTAAGGAAATATCACACACTCACACTTTCTTTCTCACACGCCCATACACATATACACACACGTAATTACACACTCACAAACACACACACTTATTTACTGCACACTCGCATCTACCTATTAGTATTTTACACATAGTTTAAGCTTATAATATTGGTTAGGATTAATAAATTATTACATACTATAAAACATTTTACTTATTATCCTTTTGCTTTTCTTTATTATTATGTTTTTTTTTAAGGAAATGTAATATTATTTGAGTCACAACACACTAGTTGTAACAATTATTTTTACGTGGAATCTAGAATAAGTTCTTGTAAGAGTTTGCTATAATATCAATAAGTGTGTGAAATATTTATAACATGTCGCTTCTGCCTTGATCTTGTACCACACAACTAATCTTTTAGTACATACAGCCACAATGTTATTGAACCATTTGTCGGATTTTTTACTTAACTAATTGTTTTACGTCTACCCACTTTACATCGTTTATGAATCGTCGTATAAAATGTGTTTTTTATTTATTTATTATTTATTTATTTATTTATTTAGAAATTTATGATTAATTTATGATTAATTAATTTATGATTCTGTTATTCTATTTCGAATGTATTAAAAGGGGAGAGCTTAGCAGCTGTAACACAGGTCTGTGACCTAGCACAGTTGCTAAAGATACCATAATTATAGTATTGAATTGGATTAAGTCTTAATTATATAAATATTATAAGGTTTTGTTTTATGTAAAGTGTTTTTGGGATCAATAAATTATTATTATTTTATTATTATTATTATGGGGTATTTGTATAGTTTTCTCATCTGGTTGGGCTGTATAAATATATAATTGTAAATGAAAATGATAAACTTACATAAATATCAATAAAATAAAATAAATACATAAAAATTACATAAATATATAAAAACCCAACCAGATGGAAGCCCTCGGCAGGGGAGACCAAACGGCCGAGGGTTAGGGAGAAAGGGAAAGAAACCGGCGGACGATGCGGGCGAATATTATTATTATTATTATTATCCTGGTATTACCGGAACTGGACCGGAGACCATCACAATTCAAGCGTAAGCGTAGGCGTAGATTGCTGAATTGCGTCTGGAAGACGGGTGGTCTTTCGTGTGAATACCGATAACTACTCTTTAGCTTAAAGATCTAGAATAAGAATTAAAATAGTCATAGTTAGGCTCTCACATGTATCGGACATGTAGCTTTAAGTGAGAATACATCGCGGATTAATTAAGTAGTATATAAGTAATGTATCGCACATTAACAGTAATGAGTTTAAAATAAAGTCTTTTTAAAAACGTCCGGAGTCAATTTCGAATCTTGACTACATCGATTCAAAAGAACATTAACAAACAAGTAATTCTTAATATAATAATAATATTACTACTTATATTTTACTTTGTAATTGCTACATAACTTTTTGCGAAATGAGAGATGGTCTGTTCACAGCAGTAATGTATTTTACATGATTTTAAAAATAACTTTAACTTTCTTACCCGAATTTGGCGAAATTTGTCCATAACGTCGTCATCTTATCGATCATTTTACTCTCAAACATGGACAATACTAAATCTTGGCTGAACAAATAAAACAATTCATCAGCATGCGAAGCTCCGGGCGTACTTTTGAAAGGTTCACCAGCAATTATCTTTGCAAAATTTCTCCAACCGTCGTAATTAAATATATAATTGTATATCGGTTTATCATTATTTTAAAGAATATATTCTGTTTCCTCTAAAATTGAGCTACTTAAATAAGCGTCACCCTGAAACTTAGCTATTTTCAGTATCGTCTCTTGTGAAATTTTCTTATCTCCAAAGTATAGCTTATGCAGCTTCGCTGCTACCTCTCTTCTTTCATAATGTGTGGTAAATGTCAAATCTTTGGGCAAAGATTTTTCTATTTCAATGTTCGGTATCGTCGTATCGTTTTCCAATGACGCAAAAAGAAATCCTTCTTCGCTGTTCAATCCAATCATCATGGGAACTTTATTGAAATCACCTTTTGTTAATATATTGTAAGGTATGTCTATCAAGAACGGCTCCACGCCATCTATTTTTTCTTCTACACATGGCACATAAAGGATTTCAGAGAAAACAACATTACCTTCCTTTCTTGGTACTCTTGTAACTAAAAGCTCTGTATCTGATTTATTCATAAATATATTATAAATTTCACGAGCGCTTACTGCATTGTAACCCATCGCTTTAGCTAGAAGGCTTGCCATATATATTGGTCTGTACTGCATCGCCCAAGGCGAAAGAGACGACCCGCTTTGAAGTATTGCCTTCTGAAAATATCCTTTGGACATCGGGGAAAGAACGTGAAAAGACACGGACGCAGACCCGGCACTCTCTCCAAATATTGTTACATTATCCATATCACCACCAAACGCCTTTATATTTGTCCTTATCCATTTCAATGCAGCAACTTGATCTTTTAAACCAACATTACCCGGTGCTTCCTTAATTCCCAGACATGCGAAGCCTTGGATGTTTAATCTATAATTAATAGTGACTAATATTACGCCTTTAGACACTAAATATGTAGCCCCGTATAAATTCCTTGATGCAGAACCCTCTAAGAAAGCACCGCCGTGTATAAACACCATGACTGGTAATTGTGAAGATGGTATCGCATCTACTGGCGTGTAAATGTTTAAAGTTAAACAATTTTCTTGACCAAAGACGAACATCTTGTCATATCTTTGTGGACATCGTACATTTTCGTTTATGGCGTTGAAAACTCCATCCCATGTTGGTTCAGGATCAGGTGCCTATAAAAAAATAATGGAAACTGATGTAATACATATGAGTGAATACAACCTAAGTAAAATGTTATTCACATAAAAATATGATTATTTCAATCGTTTATAAAAAGTGAAGTTTTTAAAACTTAATTTTCTTAATTCCGCTTAAAGCAATAAAATGATGTGTCCTTCCCAGTTTGAAGAGAACCTCACACCTACCCTCAATTGCGTGCACTATCCTCGTCATTATCGATCCCAGTACCCTCTTAGTACCATCCTCCCAAACCCACCACACTAGGATCGACACACCACTCTCGATAATACGAGACGTGTTTCGTCTCAACACGAGGCATCCTCAGGTGAAGTAGATTCTGCGGAGGCTGGCCGCGTGGCTGTCGTCGTGTGTCGTTCCTAGTGTGGTGGTTTCTGGGAGTGGTGGTTCTGAGAGTGGTAGTGCTAGGGATGGTGGAGCTGAGATGGGTGGTGACGGGGATAGTGAACGCAATCGAGGGAGGGTGGGAGGTGCTCTTTAAATTGGGCAGAACATATGATTTTATTTCTTCACGCGGATTTAAGGAAATTAAATTTTAACAGCTTCAAAAACTTCTGATTCTATTAATTACGTTTATATACCAATCAATTTAACCTTTTGTAGTATCTACGTAGTATCTATACGTATGTTTGGGTATAATATAATATATAAACTTAACAATAACGTAATTACACACAGTCTTACGTCAACACTCAAGTGTTTCATTTCCCTCGTCCTTACATGGCGACCCTGCCAGGCGGTGCGCTGCGGCAATGCAAGCGCACCGCCGGGCCTATTTAAAAAAATGGGAATAAATATTGCTAAGTTAAATAAAGAAGACCTGAGTAAAATGATTGACAATAAAGTAATATTACAACGCAACGAATACAACACCGGACGTGACAAAACATAAATAAATATGAATTTGAGAAGAAGCCACAATAACACAATAAGAATTTTATAGAAGCTGACTGAAAATTTAAAATATATAATATATAGTACTATGAAGACAACTAACGAAGAATGAGGAAATAAAATGGCGATTTTTTTAATATGATGACCAAAGTTCAAATATCAAGAAACGGCAGATTAGTTTTAAAAGGAAAGTAACCGTTGTACTTTTGCAAGCTTCATCTAGAAGAATATGAAATATGCGCCAAAAAGAACAAAGAAAAAAAATTTGAGGTAACATCGCATCAGCCTATTTTTTGTCATTTCTTTATAAGATTTCTTTAAAAAGTTTTAACTATTATAAAAAAAAAGTTATGTACAAAATATTCTGTATTTCATATATGTTTGAGTTGAAATTAATTATTAGATATTTTATATTAAAGATTTATTTCTTATTTTATTATTGTTTAAAAAAAAATCATATTACAATAATTATAAATTAAGTTACGTAAGTGCTTCAGTGGCATATGTATTAAGGCACTAGACGATTTTATATTCCCTTTTATTCAGTAATTGATTTGCAAAAAAAAAATTATGAAATAATACGAAAGATAAAAATTTTACGTGCTTAATTTCACCAAATTTATGGTTAAAATAACATTGTGATACATTTCGTTGTTTTATTCTGTAGTTTTTTAATATAAAATTATACAATTCATTCAACAAACTAATTCTACACATTCAACACCATATTTTTATTATGTTTTAGACTATATAAAATAAAAAAGTACATAATGCATTTAATATTAAATGTACGTTATTTACAAGTAACTTGAAAATATTTGCCACATTTTAACATTTTATAATATTTCTAGTAGGTATTGTATTCTATAAAAAATTCAATATATTATGCTACATTTTACGATGACCTGGTTCGGATTAAAGCAAATACATTTTTAAATTTAACCCAAATTTATTTCTGTAGTAATTTTTATTTAAATGTATATAATTTTGAATTATTTAAAAAAATCGCTATTAATAAAATTCGTAATCATTTTTCTTCTTTTCTAAAGGTATGAAAACCTTGAAACAATTTTAAAGTTATAAATAAATAAATATATATTCTTTAATAAATAACCTTAAAGTTAATATAACCTACATAAAAATGAAAATTGTTCTTCTCAATGTTTAAATAAATTAATGTTTTGTTTATATAAACTTGGTAGCCGTTATATTGTTATTTCTTTGTTTAATTTTAATATGAAATGGCATAATTTTTAAATTTAGATTTTATATTTATTGAACTTTAAAATCATAAACTTTTAATTTTTATAATTCATTATTTCCTGGGCAAATGATAAAGTTTGGATTATTTAACTTATTTGTATACATAAGAAAATAATTTCTTCAATTCATTTATTTAAATTTTGTTGTGATCATTGTGAGCCGCATTCCCTAACTGAAAATGATGTACCTAAATACTACAAGATACCATATAAGAGACTCATTTAATAAATTTGTAAAGGCGTGAGTTAATTTATGGCTACTATATTAAAGGCTAATATAATATAACTAAAAAACACCCGTAAACAAAAAATAATAATCAAAAATAATAAACACATTTTCACGTACATACTTAATTATTTTACCATATTTTATATGAATTTACAAGATTTTTTCATATTTAAATTGATTTATATTTATAATAACCATTAGTTTTACAAAAAAAAATGTTTATTTATGTAAAATTTATACAATTTTAAACTAAAATTCGGTAATTGTGATTTAAAGTGTATTAATTTGCTATTTATTATAAGTTTTTTTTATATTTTCTACAATGAAACCAAAAATTATATGATTATATACTTAAAAAAAAAACTTTTCTTTTCTAATGGTAATAACATTTTATTAACATACAACATAAATTTTTTTATACAGACTTATATATGTGTAATAGCCTATCTTTTTTACAAATTTGTGTTTCAAATAATCTAAAAAAAAAAGTAATATGTAATACGTTGCCGACTATTAATGATAAAAATAACACTTATTACTTGATAATGTAAAAGTATTATAACAATGCAATGTAATCTTAACTATGTAAATGAAAACGTTTTTAATACTATAAATTTTAGATATTTTTAAGTGTATTTAGAATAAAACATTTTGTAAGTTATGTTGAAATTAGGTATCATCATACGATGTAATCGCAAACTTTCCCATAAACGTACTTTGGAATTGAAAACAAAAGTGTCACAAATCGCTGACGCGGCTGGGATTGCAACTTGTATTTTGATCTAGTAGTTTTTATGATAATGAAAATGATTACATTGCTTAACATAGACTTCTTTGTTATGTGTATCTTAAAATGAAATGTAATATTGTCGGTTTTATATTTATTGAACCTTCAAATCATATGTTTGTATCTTTATAAGGCATTATTTTTTGAAAAAAAAAAAGTAAAGTATTAATATCTAAATAATTTGTATGGATCATGAAAGAAATGTTTCATTAAATATAAAGGTATAAAGAAATGAAATATATAACTATAAAATTATAAGTATAAATGTGAATAAATATATAAAGGAAGGGTACTATTTAATGTGAATGTCTAGATAAGTGACTTAATAAGTAACTGAATAACTCAGTATCAAAGTGTGTTAAAAGTGACCAAAATAATATACGTTCGCGAATGTACACCTGATTTTGTCAAACATAATGCATCAACAATGCAACAATGCATTAAGCCTTAAACATACATAATGTGATTACGGAATTATTATGTACATAGGGGGTTTGGCCAGCCACCCTACCCAAGCCAAGACAAATATTATATATACATAATTATAATAATATAAGACTTTATTTAACATTAACTTTTTACTATATATAAAAATATGTAATATTTTTATATATTTTTTTTTGTCGGTATTTTTCATATAATACTTCCGTTCAACTAAGTATACCCCATTCGAGTTAGTTTATTGCAAAAAATGTAATTTACCCAGTAATTTAACTAAAATCGTAGAACCCCTATATAATTACGAAGATTATCCGTTAGAGTTCAAATATTGCCTACAAACCTCCCATAATGAAACAAGAGAAAATTTAATCAATAGTAAATTTGTTAGGAAATCCAAGTATGATTGTAAAATGAACACTAAACTTATAAAATTAATGATTTGATATTAGTTAAAGAAGAAACTGGTAACAAACTCAGCGCCATTTGTGCAGGTCCATATTTAGTAATTAGAGATTGTTCACCGAATGTTGAAATACTAAAAGATGGCAAAAATTACATTATTATTTTCACATTTATTGTGAACACATTAAGTCACTTATAAAAATTGGATGATACTATCTTTAATAGTTTGTGCATGTGGTGTTTACCTAAATTAATTGTGCATTTGGCTGTAAAACACATGTTATTGTTAAATACTCATTGATGTATTATAATTACAATTACTGGTAAACCTAATAAATAAATAAATAAATAAAAACCAAACTAAATTTCATTATCCTTAAAATAAATGTAATAAATTTATTATAATATTACATATATAATATTGTAATAATATTAAAGTTATTAAGTAATAAATTTCAGACATTGTGTACTTCATCATCATCATTACAGCCCTTCACAAGTCCACTGCTGAACATAGGCCTCCCCCAAAGAATGCCACAAAGCACGGTCCTGAGCCACCTGCATCCATCGACTTCCTGCATATCTTACCAGGTCGTCACTCCATCTAGTGGGGGGACGCCCTACACTTCGCCTGCCGGTACGAGGCTGCCACTCGAGAACCTTTCTTCCCCATCGGTTGTCGGCTCCTCGAGCCACATGGCCGGCCCATTGCCACTTCAGCTTACTAATCCGTTGGGCTATGTCGGTCACTCTAGTTCTACTGCGGATATCCTCATTTCTGAGTTTATCACGCAGAGAAACTCCGAGCATAGCCCTCTCCATAGCTCGCTGAGCGACCTTGAGCTTCCTCATCCGGCCAGCAGTGAAGGACCACGTCTCAGTTCCGTATGTCATCACTGGCAACACGCACTGGGTGTACAATTTCATTTTCAAGTTTTGAGGTATACCTGACGAGAAGAT